CGTCAAAAATGACGGGAGCTCGGCGCCTGCGAGACTCGGGGTAGGCCACCCCGCAATACACGCATGCACTGCAGGCAAGATATTGCCTATCCACCAGGCGCTATGCGAGCCCGCAGAAGCCGAACTAGGCAGGTTAATAACGGCGAATGACGGGCGTACTTACTGAGTGATCCCAGACGCGACGATTCCAGTCCTGGAGGAGGGGAGGGGGAGGGGGAGGAGGAGCAGAGCAGCATCCGCCTAGGGAGGCGTGGATACACCCGGGTGCGCGCGGGAGCCGATAGTCTAGCGGGGCGAGGCGCGGCGTGGCGTGGCGCTTCGCGCCCGCCCTCCACTCCAGATGCACCGACTTCCAAAGAGGTATTAATAACCGTATCAAGGGCGCTGCGCTGGTGGCGGGGCGTGGTTGGCCGGGCGGGTCCGGGTACGCCCCCCTCCCTCCCTCCTCCCCCGAGTAATTGTCGGCAGCCAACGAGCGCGATGTTTCAGCGGCGCAAAGTCGGCGAGCTGCCGCGCCGCGCCGCGCCGCCGCCGCCGGTATGGGCGGATAATTTTGACGTTGTTTTTGAGAAATGCAAGGCGAAACGAAAAGAGAGCAGGAGTGCTCGGACTTGAGAGTAGCCCCCTCCCCACCCCCTCCCCTCCCGGACCAACACGGCCTTCCCTATCTGAAAGGCCAATAACAAAGTGGCCCGCCCGCACCGCACGGCCCGCTGGCCTAGAGAGAGGGCCTGTCTGTAGGGCTGCGGCGTGGGTATGGTGGTGGAGGTAATCGTCTCCCCTCGTCTCTCTCGCACTCGCCCGACCACCACCACCACCGGCCCGCCGTACTATCGAGTAGTGTGTCTGTCTCACCCACACGCAGCAGTGGCGTTAACGTGCGCGCTCCCTTACGGCGCGGCGGCGTCGTAAGACCCATAGCTTTACTGGCTTCTGCGGAGCCTGGACGTTCGGAGCGGGACGTAGGCCTTGTCTCGGCGCTCGGCGCAACTACTGCAGGGTGGGCTCTAGGACGGAGGACAGGCCACAGGGCAAACTTGAATGGCAGGTTTCAGGGTGAGTTGTAGCGCGGGCTTACTGGAGGGCGGGCTACAGTGTGGGTTGTAGGGTTGGTTGAAGGGCCGGCCCGCACAATACCAGGAGAGCTCGCGTTCGGCGACCAACTAAAAACAACGCCACCCCCCCTTCCTCCCCACTCCATCTCAAGTCAAGCAGGGAGCCTTTCGGCAGTTTTGGCCGAATCGTGATGGCGGGCCGGCCGGGCGCCACCCGACCCGGACCTTCCCGAACACGATCACGCTCTAGTTGGGCAACAAAAGGGATCCTACGCGCGGCAAGCGGGCAGGCGGGAACAACTGCGCGGCGGCGTCAACGCGGGAGGATATTTCTTATCGGTTTGGAAATAGTATACGGCGCCGCCCGACTCTGCTTGGGAACTGAACGGACCCATACATCCAGGCTGTCAGAGAGAAAAATGATGGTAAAACAGTAAAATCAAATGGAACGCCCAAAGTATAAGCACTGAAGGACTCAACGCGCGCCGCGTATGTCGTATCACAAGCACGTGCGCACGCGAACGATATAGCGCCCCGCAATGTAACTTTGGATAGAGATAGGAGAATAACTTTCCTCTCATAGAATTATTTCGCACCCACTCACTCCCCGCATGCGTGCTGCTCACTTTGTAACAAACGGCGGCGGAGCCTGAGAAAAGCAATTGAGCAGGTCGGCATTGTAATGCGGCGGCTCGGCCCCGCCCTGTCTCAGCGGCTCAGCACGGCCTGCTCCACCAAACTGTGAGGGCCGCTTTGCGCTAATTAAGGCGTTTCGTGCGAAAACCAAACAAGCTCCCTCCGCTACTGCTGCTGCGGCGGCGGCTCTGTAGTGTCGAATAAAAGCAGAATAACGAGCACAAGTTGTTATAAAGCGACTATTCAAGTGGGAGTAAGATTGAGAGAGAAGAGGAGAGTGAGAGGAAGAGGACGGCACGGCACGGCACGGCACGGCACGGCACGGCACGGCACGGCCCGGCACGACAGGCGCGTTGTGGTCCCCCGAAGGCGCCGGAGTGTGACTCGTGGTGTGGGGGCCCGGGCCCCACATGCATACGCCCTCGGACGCTGCCGTGGCGGGCCGCCGCCGGACGTCGGCCGCTCTCCGGGACGACGGGCGCCTTGAGACGCAGGTCAGCCCCGGCGAAAGGGCGGCTACCGCTGTACTCTGCACACGACAAGGATGGACGGGGCGGCGGGGGAAGGAACACGGGGAGGTCCTGCCGCCCGGCGGGGCCGGCGGGGCATAAGAGCGAGGGCGCCCTTGGATCCGGGTGGGCGGAGAGGGTACTTGTTCGGCCTTTCCACGGTCCGGCGAGCGGTGCCGGCCGCGGCGTGGCGGGGCGTGGCCGGGGAGGTATGTGCCGGCCGCACCGCCCCACAGAATCAATTATTTGGCCGCTGGTAGCCGTTTATTGGAAAACGGACTCCGCACACTGGAAGAGAGGTGGGCAACGCGGCCGCGCAGCGAGGCGAAAGGCCCCCCCGAACTGAACCGCGGGGCGCAAGGCAATGCCGCTGTTGATTTAGAGCCGATCCGCGCAGATATCGAGTAATCTGTCCGATTGCACCGGGCTGATGGACGGGCCGGCCGCGAACATGGCCAAGGCAAAGGGGAGGCCATTTTTGTTTTTCTTTTCTTTCTTTTCTTCGGGTTTGGCAAGGGAGAGGGGAAATTATATGAGCTGTTGCTTATGGCTTTACTGTTTTGTACGAGTATAACGGACGCGCGGGCGTTCAGAGGAGAAAGCCCTTAATGTCGACGCGAAGCAGAGAGGGGAAAACGAAACGGTTATACACACACACCAAAACGAAACAAAATAACCGTTTTGTATCGAACAATAACATCTCTCACGCGTGGTCGAATCGAATATCGGGCAATTAGTTGTTATTGCATGACGGTGCGCACGGTATCGGAGCAGGCGTGAAGTACATGGGAACGCTACAAAAGGGAGCGTAGAAAAGGGCAAATAAAAAGGCGGTGGAATGCTATGTTATAACGGTGGTGCGAGCGTGTGTAGCATATATATGACAGAGTGAGATACCCGGGGGAGAGGGGGGGGGGGCAACAGAGGCAGCCAAAGGACGCAGCGCGACGCGACGGGGCGGCGGCCGGGGTGAAGTACATGGGAACGCTACAAAAGGGAGCGTAGAAAAGGGCAAATAAAAAGGCGGTGGAATGCTATGTTATAACGGTGGTGCGAGCGTGTGT